AATCTTATAATGTTACACGCGTAATAATGTTAAAATTTAATGTTACAATAATGATATCAAAATAATACCCTATGCTTACATTAAGATTAACAAGAAATTATATAACAAATCATATATATATGGGGATAGTAGGAACTACAAATGGGAATGGGAAATTATTGTCATTATTTCCTTCTTTTTTTTTTGAATATAATAAACAATTATAATTGGGAAGGTTGGAATATAACAAACAATTACAATTGGTAAGGGGAATTATTGTCATTATTTCCTTTTTTTGGAATATAATAAACAATTACAATTGGGAAGGGGAATTATTGTCATTATTTCCTTTTTTTTGGAATATAACAAACAATTACAATTGGGAAGGGAAATTATTGTCATTATTTCCTTTTTTTGGAATATAACAAACAACTACGATTGGGAAGGGGAATTATTGTCATTATTTCCTTTTTTTGGAATATAACAAACAATTACAATTGGGAAGGGGAATTATTGTCATTATTTCCTTTTTTTGGAATATAATAAACAATTATAATTGGGAAGGGGAATTATTTTCAATATTAACAATGTAACTTATTAATCAAAATTATCACAACTAGGAAAGATATGTATGATGCGTTAATATTTGTAACCAACAATATAAAAGTAAAGATATAATGCAATATATTCCTATTAATAATTTCTAATGTGATCAATATGAACAAAGAGAAACTTATCATCTACCTGAATTTCCCAAATGAAGTTACTAATTCTCCCAATGACAATCCCCACACGCCATTCTTGATTGGAGCCCATTTTGACAAAAACTGAATTGCCAATTGTTAATTCTCTGAACTTTATTATTTTAATTTTAGGTCGCAAATCAGAGTCACTGTTCTTCAAAAAACTCCATTTCCATCTTAGTTCCCTGCCGAATAATCTAAACGCAGGTGAATTTTTGGTTGTCGAATGAGTGGTATTGCGATAATTCAATAACACCTCTTCCAATAATCTATCATCCCAACCACCTAATTTATAAATCATATCCTTAGCTGAGCGTACCGCTCCTTCAGCCATACCATTTGAAGACGGATAGTATGCAGGAGTAAATATATGTGTTATACCCTTTTTTAATAGAAAATTTTTAAAATCATACGACCTAAAAGCTGGTCCATTATCAGAAACCAACTCTACGGGGTAACCAAATATAGAAAAAATATTATTTAATACCATGATAATGGTATTAGTAGTAATATTTTTAACCTTGATAATCTCAAGCCATCGAGAGTACCCATCAATTATTACTAATCCATAATAATTCTTAATGGGTTCAAAAAAATCAATAAAAACACGATACCAGGGTCTGTTCGGATCTACCCAATGATTATTTCTAACCTTTGGTAATTTTGGAGCATTTACCATACACATATTACACCTAAAAACCATTTCCTTGATGTCTCTTTTAACCCCGGGCCACCAAAAATATCTTTCCATAATATCAATCATCCTAGACAAACCTATATGTCCCTCATGAAGAACATTTAGAATCTCTTTCTTAGCGATTGGGGAATAACAATCTGCTCTCGCTTAAAAATACAATCATTTTTACTAAACAACAACTTACCTAGCTCCATATATACTTTAATCTGTGTGAAATCTCCCACTTCATTTAAAATAAATTGTTTAACTTTGATAAGATCTAAATCTTCCACAGTCTCATATCTTATCATATCTAAATTATTCAAAATTCTCTGGTCAATTAAATCATTATCAATATTAAAAAAATAAATAACATCTTCCTTAATTAACCTAGATAAACCATCAGCAATAAATTGATCTTTACCCCTCCTGTAATTAATGTCGAAATCAAACCCGGCTAAACAAAAAGCCCATTTCTGTAACCTTGGCGACATATTGTAAGGTTTAACCGGATCTGTTCCAAACAAATTAACTAGAGGTTTATGATCCGTAAAAATTTTAAAATTCCTCCCTACTACATATTCCCTCCATTTCTTAACAGCCACAAAAACCGACAATCCTTCTTTCTCAATAATCGAATATCTTTTCTCAGCACCCGTCCATGCTTTTGACATAAACTCAATAGGCCTTTCGAGACCATCCTCTTCAACATGAAATAAAACAGCACCCATATCTTTATTAGAAGCATCAGTAGAAATAAATAAGTTTTTACTTCTGTCATAATGTGCAAGAATTGGTGCATTGCACAATCTTTCTCTAATATCATCAAAACTAGTTTTTTCCTTAATTCCCCAATAAAATTTTTTACCCTTTTTAAGCAATTCATATAAATTAGATGCCAATTTAGAAAAACCTTCTATCAACCTTGAATAATAATTCATCAGACCCAACCACGAATGCAATTCTTCCTTACTCTTATGTTCAGTCATGGTACTTATAGGATCAATCTTTTCTTTAATTGGCTGTATACCTTTGTCACTTATCAAATAACCTAAATACTTAATACTTTCTTTGCAAAATTCACTTTTTTTTATATTTCCAATCACCCCAAACTCCAACATTCTTTCAAACACTCTTTTTAATTTATAAAAATGGTCTAACTTATCCTTACCAAAAATTAATAAATCATCTAAATAATAAATGACCCCCTTAATATCAGAAAATATTTCGTCCATAGTCTTCTGGAAATACGCAGTTGATACTGTAAGCCCAAAAGGTAGTCTATTAAATTGAAAAAGACCCTTGTGTGTGGAGACGGTCAAAAATTTGGAAGTTTCTTTAGATACAGGAATCTGCAGATACGCCGATGAGAAATCTATCTTTGAAAAAAAATTCCCATTACCTACTTTATCAATTATGTCATTAATCCTTGTAAGCGGATATTTGAACCTTTCTAATTGTGGGTTTACAGTAACTCTAAAGTCAGCACAAACTCTCAACGTATTATCTTTTTTTTAACTAACACTAATAGAGTGGCCTATTGTGAAAATCTGACAGGCTTAATTACTCCCTGCTGTCGCCTTTGTTCTATAGTGTTTTCTAATTCTTCTTCTAACTCGAAGGGCACTCTCCTGGCCTTCACAAATTTTGGCTTAAAGTCATTTTTTAATAAAATTTCTATTTCCAAATTCTTGACTTTTCCAATTCTATCATTAAAAACACAGTCAAATTTCTTAATTAGTTTGTTGATGTCACAACTCTCTTCAAAATACCCTTTTTTAGTAAATAACGATTGAATGAGATCATTTTTTTTATAAAATTTCTCAGTATCTTTGAAAGGATTGTCAAAAGTTAAAAAATTCACTCTATCTTCTATCTCATTCTTTATAATATTGTTTACATCAACGTTGAATTTGATTATGTCAAATTCTTTAATCCAGTCTTGACCACATAGAGGTGGTCCCTCCCCATCCAATACATAAAAATTTAAATAATCAATTGTAATCAAATATTTAAACTTAATATTCAAGACCTGACCAACGACTGTGATAGGAGAACCCTCATAAGAGAATAATTTTTTAGAACAATTTTCCAACTCAATTTCTTCATAATTCTCCAATTTTTCAAAATCTTTAATGGGCAAGGATGTCACCGGAGAACCCGTATCTATCAAAAAAGAAAAATTATGATTATTAAGTTGCATATTAATCATAAAATCATTAATAAAATTTATCTTATTCCTTGGCCTCAAATTATATGGCGTTTGTATAATTTCTTGTTTTTTGAAATTGTTGTTGTTGTTGTTATTGTTGTAGTTGTTGTTGTTATTGTTGTAGTTGTTGTTGTTATTGTTGTAGTTGTTGTTGTTGTTATTGTTGTAGTTGTTGTTGTTGTTATTGTTGTAGTTGTTGTTGTTATTGTTAGCCTTGAAAGTCTGCTTGTTCTCTTTCCAGGACGAATAGCCTTGCCAATCGGTTCTATCCTCTCTTCTCCAAGAATCTTTCGCTAAATATGTTTTATTATTATTAATTTCCAACGATTGAAATTTGACAACAATGTCCTCTATAATATTAATCTCTGTAGTATTTTCTTCTATCAACCTAGTTTTTAGTTTTTCATTACAACAATTCAAAATAAATTGCACCAAAATTCAGGATTGAGCCCCGAGCCATACCCTTTCAGTCTATAGAAATATTCGCTGGAAGATTCAAGTCTGTCCGGTTTTGTATTGAACAACTCCAAAATACGCGTGATCTTGTTCTTTTCGACTTTCTTTTGTACTAAATCTTTCATTTGTTGATATGATAAATTATCATTATTATCCATGATACTCACAGCCATATCTTTATCCAATGTTTCAAATAATTTATATTTTTTTGTAGCTTCATCTATAATGATCTCCGCAAGAAATTTCAGATCCAACGTCTTCAACAATACCTTGATCTTTACATCATTCCTATCCTCCATCATATTGAACTGGGAGAAAAGTTCAATTTAGAATAATTTTTGATTTAGAATAATTTTGAATATATTATTGAGCAATGGTGTAAAAGTTCAAATTAGAATAATTAAATATATCTTTTTTATATAATTTACAAAAAAGGAATTACTAGTTATTTTTATACAAGCAAAAAAAATAAGTTATTTAAAATAAAAATATATATATATTTATATATATATTCTGTTGCCTTAAGATATATAACTAAACTTTTAAATATAATTATTTAAATATAACTGACATTTTAAATATAAGTAATAAAATAATAGAGTACAATAGCGCACATGCAACAATTTTAAAAGTTTCTATTATTTAGTAATACTGACATTTATGACTAAGGTGTAATGTTAAAAGTTTATATTATTTAGTAATACTGACATGTAATGTTAAAAGTTTCTATTATCTATAATAGAAATTACCAACGTGTAATGTTAAAAGTTTATATTATTTAGTTAACTGACTAATGACTGATAAAAGTTTCTATATGACTGATAAAAGTTTCTATTATTAGTAATACTAACATTTATGACTGACATGTAATGTTAAAAGGATCTATTATTTGGTATCGGTCCGATTCATTTATCTTTCTTTTGTCATCAAACTATTTAACGTCAAATGGCGAATTTTTTTTATAACATTTATCATTAAAATATTTTACATATTAATATTTACATATATATTTTTCTAGAAAATTGTAAAATAAAGAACAATATTGGCAATATTCTCAACTTAATTAGCAAGATTCTATATTAGTAGTAGCAAATATTTTTCTGAACCTTAAAGGCAAAGGTAAATGTTTTAATTTAAATATTTTACATAATTAATATTTACAGATATATTTTTCTAGAAATTGTAAAATAAAGAACAATATTAGCAATATTCTCAACTTAGTATTAGCAAGTTTCTATATTAATATTAGCAAATATTTTTCTGAACCTTAAAGGCAAAGGTAATTGGTTTTAATTAAAATATTTTACATAATTGTAAAATAAAGTACAATATTAGCAATATTTTCAGGTTAGTATTAGCAAGATTCTATATTAGTATTAGCAAATATTTTTCTGAACCTCAAAGGCAAAGGTAATTGGTTTTAATGATGTGATTTATTATTTTTTAGATATTTGACTGCAAGAAGAGGAAGTATTTTACAAAACAACATGAAATATTATCTTTTAAATTTTATTATAAATAGTTAATTATGTATTTTGATTTGCCTGCAAGGAAGTATTTTACAAAATAATATGAAATATTATCTTTTAAATTTTATTATAAATAGTTAATCAAAATTTTGTTAATATATTTTCTTTTAAATTTTATTATAAATAGTTAATCAAAATTTTGTTAATATATTTTTTTTTAAATTTTATTATAAATAGTTAATCAAAATTTTGTTAATATATTATCTTTTAAATTTTATTATAAATAGTTAATCAAAATTTTCTTAATATATTATCTTTTAAATTTTATTAAAGTTAATCAAAATTTTATTAATATATTTTCTTTTAAATATTATTATAAATAATTAATCAAAATTTTTTAAATGTATTTTTCCTTAAGTATCATTGGGAAAAAATGAAGAGATTGTCCCTTCTTTGATAAATCATGTACAAGAAGATCGAGAGGATGATCTCCTTGTTTTACCATTTTTGGATGAAAGTTATAGATGAAGAAGTTGTAATCGATATCTCCATTGCAGCTGATAGCCTGTAACTTTACCAATATCAGTTAATAACATTCAATTCATATTTAAATATAGAACAGTCCAATGACATTAATACTATAGACTGCCGATCGTAATGCTAAAATCAAATTTGAAGTGGCAAAAATTGAAGTGACTGGTGGCCATTTTGTATTTGTATCTTTTACGAAAGAAGCATATGATAATTTCATAAATTTCAGGTATATTTTTATTTTGTTTATATTTATAATATATATATATTCTAATTAAACACCAATTTATTATTTACCTTATATATTATAGTATATGAATCAAATAAAGGTCACTACTGAATATTTTACTTGAAATATTTCTGCTATTTATTAACATTTGCAATTTATTATTTAATAATGAATATCTTTTATAAGAATTCAATTTAATATTTTTTAATTACTAAAAGATTTAAAATGGTAGTATATTGCTGAGGAAGCAAAATTTCCTTTCATAAGTATGATATCTCAAATTAATTATTCTATTGTAAAAATTACTTATGGCAGATTTCCTATGAAAGATAAAATATTATTATAAAAGTGGACCCATGCTGTGAAGAGAGAGAACTTCAATGTAACAAAATATAGTAAATTATGTTCAAAGCATTTTACACCAGATTCATTTATTCCATCTGTTACAAATCATGTTCAATTAAGAGAGGGAGCAATACCATCAATTTTTAATTTTCCAAAGCCTTCTAAAAGTAACAAAATAATGAATAATAAATTATAACATACAGGTTTCCTAGAAGCCAGATTAATTCAAAAATACATGAATATTTTATTTTATAGAAATCAATTCTAGATTTCTTTTGTATTTTTATAATTTATGTCTTATGTCTTTTATGTTTTATTTTTGCTTATAATTATGTTATACGTTAATAAATATAAACTATCCATTTCTAAATATATTTCTTTATTTAAATTTAATTCACTAAAGTATAAAAATCAATAATGTAAATATATATCATGAAAAATACAAATAATATATATTATGTTATATTTACATCAAATAAAATATTTGTATTATTATAATTAATATGTATCGCGAAAAGAAAATATTAATTCTTATAAATCAATAATAAATACAAATAATATATATATGTTATATTTATGTCTAATAAAATTAATTTATTATAACCAATAAAGTCATTAGAAATTTTCAGATAATTTGTTCTTCACCTATAAATATTTAAGTAATAACATATTTTTATATTACTTAGTTTATTGCCCTTGAAAAAGTACAGCCTTGTTTAGTTTTTGCCTGATATTTAATTGTAATTTTTGATTTACTTTATTACCAAAATGATGCATTCTTATGTGCAGGTATCTGAAAATAAATTTTTATTAAAATCAAGTAAATATTATATATACCTTTTTATTATAAGTCTTATTATAATTTGATAATGACTTAACTCTGCCTCTTGATCAAACATATGATCTTGCAGGTCACTAAGGATATTTGTGCCTAATATTTTTGACAATATTAGACATTCTATTTTTTAAACAGCATGTCTTTAGGTTATTTCATCTACTTTTTCAAAAGCCCTGAATGAGCTCTCTGTTATTTTGCATTTGACACGCTTTGGGATGGTATTATCAATCCACCATAATTCTTAATTTTTATTAATGTATAATTATTGTCGTTTGCGGAATTATCAATTGTAAACAGATATCACATCTAACTTTCTTTTCTTCATATTCAGTAGTGCCCTTTATTTGATTCGTATATACTATAATATATAAGGTAAATAAAAAATTGGTGTTTAATTAGAATATATATATATATATTATAAATATAAACATAATAAAAATATACCTGAAATTTATGAAATTATCATATGGTTCTTTCGTAAAAGATACAAACACAAAATGGCTTCCAGTCACTTCAATTTTTGCCACTTCAAATATATTAATAATGTCGGAACAGTCATATAATTTTATTCTTTCCCAAAAAAAACATAATTTATTATATTCAAATAAATGTCCATATATTCATCATAAATTTGTCTGCATAGTATATGCTAAAATGTAGTTTTTTTCAATATGTTATAGTTTGACAATTAATATTAACATTATATTGTTAGAATAGAATCTGGCCATATTATTACTAATTAAATATTATATTTTATTAAAGGATATTTGTAGCTTTTTAAATTTTATTGTCATTTAAATTCAGAATTTTTGAAAATTATATTTTAAAATAAAACTTTATTATTCATATTTTTTGTATCATGTCTATCTAAATAAATATATGGAAGGAGATAATTGATAAAAGAAATGTAGAATCTAAAAATAATCATTATTTGATTCAAATAATCAATTTCAATTTTTTAACTTAAAACATCGATTAATTAATTATTAGACTTTTATATGTCTTGGTCATTCATAGGTTTTAATTAAATAGGTTAATAAATTAAGCCGGCAATTCAACCCTAAGTATGATCCGAATAAAAATTATAAAATCTGCCTCTTTCAAAAAATATTACAATTAAATAAATATGTTATAGTAACAGACCTAATCTAAACAGATTTAAATAGCAATTATAAATATAAATTTTTATATAATTTGTGCTGTAAAGTAATGTAAAAAAAGTAACGTAGTTACTAATGTCGTTACCTTGAATTTTATTCAAAAAACATCTATTTCAGAGGTGATTATCAGCAGTGAATATTATATATTTCAAATCTTACAATTATTATTTTGCTTATGAATTTTTTTTTAAATTTACAGATAAAAATAATTATAATTTTATTAAATGCTATATAGAAAAATAAGTTATATTATTCAAATGAAACAATTCTAGAAAGTTTATGTTCTCCAATTGAAGAGAGTAAATTAGGTAAGTCTCTTCTCTCTTCTAAAAAATCAATACATAAATTTTTTAAAATATTTTGTTTTATATGGTAACAACAATTTTTTTTGGGAGTGTATGTCCCAATACTCCATTGGCCATTTTTGCCCATGTCGACGGCTATTTCCATCCTTATCTTTTCAATTAGTTCCCATATCTTAGGTTTTTGTGGCCTATAATATGCTGAAATCGATGGTTCCACCCTTCACATACATTATTTATTCGATTTTCCCCAAGAATCGTAACGTTGAATTATAATCTATTTCTATAAAATTTATCATGTTGTTTTTTTTTCCTGGGAATTATTTTCCTCTTACGATTATTTTTATTCATAAAAAAAGCGGCGCCACTATGGGGAGGGTGAGGGGTATTTTTACAAAATAAAAATTTTTTTTAAAGTTAAAGATAAAAAAAAACATTTTATTTTATATAAACAAACATGCAACGCTGGCATCCCCTTCGTTGTGTTGATTTAATGAAACATGTTATCATCCATATAAAATTATTTTCTTTGCAAAAATAATTAAAATAAAACACTTGTAATTTATAAAAAAAATTTAACTTAATTACAAGTTGTAATTAAGTTAGTTAAATTACCGGGGATTACTAACTGTGAATAAAAAATGTTTTAAAGATGGTTTAGTAACTATATATAAACTAATAATTATATAAGAGAATTTAACATATTCTGGAAGAGATAAAATAATTAAATCAAACAAACTCCGCCAAAATCATCGCAATTTGAACAAATATTTGAATGGTTAGTTAGAAAATGGGATCAATGTAGGAAAAATAATAAAGCCTACTAATTTATAATTAAATTTAAATGTATAATAAGATTTAAAAGATTAGTAAATGAGATTTATTTTTTCTTAGTTTACCCAAGGTAGATAGAGCTGTGCAAATTCTATTTTATTTTGCCTGATTGAAATTTATTTTAAAACCCTATCTCAGTTTATACCTATTGATCTATAGGCACTCCTAGCACCTTCCTCCTTACTTTAGCTCTGAGTCTGAAAATATTTTAATTTATTTAAATAAAAAGCATTTTAATTTTTATATAAAGATAAATTTAATTAAATCATAAATATTTAAATTTATGACAAGTAAGGTAATATTATAATTTAGGATATTAAGTAACACTAACATCTAAGTTTTATTTTCGACCTTTTAAATTTCTTATACCTATAAACAATTTAATGTCGAAAACGTTAAAGCTTTCTTTAAAAAAAGTTTGATCCGAATCTATATATATAAGGTAGGTTAAATTTATTCATATTTAAGCACAAATTACATATCATTCATCAAATGATTCACTATTTTACTTTTTATAAAAATAACTGTTAATAAAAAAAAATATAAAATGCTTTATATTATAAATTTGCAATTTAATAGCATTCAACTCATCAAAAAGACGCCTAACTATTGTTCTTTTTATAAGAATAATTATTAATATAAAATATAAAATGCAACAAATATATTGTATAAGTTGGCGATTGAATAACAAGTAACAAAAAGTTTAATATTAAAAAAATATATATAATGCAATATATATAATATAAATTCGCAATTGAATAGAATTTAACTCATAAAAAGGATGTCAAACTTGTACTTTTTATAAAAATGTTAATAAAAAATATAAAGTGCAATAGCATATAACAAAAAGATGCTTACCGATTATACTTTCAAATAAATTGCAATATATATAATGGAATAAAAATATTAGAATAAATATTAATCACATTGATATAACTCCAAAATGATTGTTATTTTCATTACATAAATATATATTTTCTTTAAAAATTTTAATAATAAAAAATTTCATGTGCGAATAATAAGCCTACTTATATTTGGTATGTATTAATATATTTGTCTGCAACATTTTGGCAACAGATAATATTTACACCATTGTTGCCCAGACACCGTTTCCCATAACATTTCTGTTACCTAGGTATTTCTTTAAAAAGATATCCTGTATATTTTCCCATTTCCAATTTGAAATCTTTGCTCCTCATAAAGACAACACATTCCTCCCTCAGGTAATTATAACTTTGCTGGCTATCTCTTTACTTATTCACCTGTAAACATGTTAAATAATTAAATATTATATAAAGACTAGCTAATAACCCGTCAAGAATGACGGGGTTGAGGGGTAATTAGTTAGTTTGTATATTTGGTACAAAATATGCTTTATAGTAAAATTTAGGAGATAAAGAGATAAAATTGTTGCAATGTAACCCGTGAGCATTAAGGGTATTAGAAATATCAGAATTTAAATTTGTGATGGAATCATAATGGGTAAATTAAAAATAGAGATGCTTCTAAATTTTTGAATTTTAAATATGGGCTAGACATTGGTCTCAAAATTTTGTTTTGCATACCCAGCAGGCCTGATCAAAAAACCACGCCCCATGCAACTTTCCCAATATTTTGCCATTTATTTCTATTGTAATTTAATAATAATGTCTTAAATTTAATTTTATATTTAGAATAATATTTAAATTTGTGATAGAAATCTTATTGAATAAAATTTAAAACAGAGATGCTTGGGAATTTTTAAATCTTAAATATGGTTTTGCAGATATAGCCAGGCATGATCAAAAAACCAAGTCCCATGCAACTTTCATAAAATTTTGCCATTTATTTCTATTGTAATTTAATAACAATGTCTTAAATTTAATTTTATATTCCATTTATTTCTGTTGTAATTTAATAATATCTTAAATTTAATATTATATTTAGAATAAAATTTAAATTTGTGATAGAAATCATATTGGATAAAATTTAAAATAGATATGCTTGAAATTTTTTCATTTTAAATATGGACCAGACATTGGCCTGAAATTTTCTAAAACCTGGCCAACCCATAATAATTTTGTAATTTTTTCCCAAGTCTGGAGATAGGTAAATCTCTGAAAACCATATTGTTGGGAAAATATTCTCAAGCCCGCCAAAGACCATAATAATTTTGTTAGTTGAGAACTAAATAAAATATATAAAAGTCATAATTCAATTAAAAATAAAATCAATAAAGTTGCTTTGGCTTGTTTTTTTAATCAGGCCTGGTGATTTCTGCAAAAAAAATTTCAGGCTTATGTCTAGCCCATATTTAAAATTAAAAAATTTTCAAGCACTTCTATTTTATATTTTACCCAATATGATTTCTATCATAAATCTAACTTTTATTCTAAATATAAAATTAAATTTAAGACATGTTAAGGATGTTGAAGCAATATTACTTTGATCTTGATTTTCAATACTACTACACTTTGATATTGATGCAATAAGACTTTGCTCTTGTCTTTTCTTGCTTCGACAAAGTTCCTGTCTCCGTCTGGCTTTCTCCTTATGCTGATATATTATTAAAATTTAAAATTATATACCTATTAAATAGTTTGAATTTTAACTTATATACACTAAAAAGTTATGCATAACTCAATTTTGTAAATTATCATTTTAAGCCCCCATAGAAGAAAAATCCAAGGAGTTGTATGTTATAATAATGATTAGTTATGTCTAAATTTGAGACAAAAATTTACTGTACCTTCCTGGCAGCTAAAATTAAAAAATATAAGAATACCTATTAAATAGTTTGAATTTTAACTTATATACACTTAAAAGTTATGCATAACTTATTTTTGTAAATTATTTTAGCCCCTATAGAAGAAAATCCAAGGAGTAGTATGTTATAATAATGATCAGTTATGTCTAAATTTAAGACAAAAATTTACTGTACCTTCCTGGCAGCTAAAATTTAAAAATATAAGAATACCTATTTAATAGTTTGAATTCTAACTGCAGCTAAAATTTAAAAATATAAGAAAACCTATATAATAGTTTGAATTTTAACTTATATACACTTAATTAATTATGTCTAAATTCGAGACAAAAATTTACTGTTAAGGATATTGAAACAATAATACATTGCTCTTGATTTTGAGTACTACAATTTTATTGTTGATTTTCAATATCTTTTTGTTGAATTGCAGGAATCTACAAATATAATATAATGTATCAGTTATGTCTAAATTTGAAACAAAAATTTACTGTTAAGGATCTTGAAACAATAATACATTGCTCTTGATTTTCAGTACTACAATTTGATTGTTGATTTTCAGTATCTTTTTGTTGAATGGTATTTTGTGCAGGAATCTAAAAATATAATATAATAGTAATTAAATCAAAAAATTTACCAAGAATATCTATTGTATTAGTTAGTTTCAGTTCAGTTGTTTGATTTATCAGTTAGTTGGTAATGGTAGATGAATGAATGTTTAATATGATTCTGTGGTGATTTTTAAAAAGAATGTAAAAAATTTAAAAATATCAGAATACCTATTTAATAGTTTGAATTTTAAAGTAGCTACAAACTTTGAATCGTATCTTCTATTTGATTAATTTTGTCAGATTAAGAAAAAAAAATTATTTTGCCAGATTTAGAAAAAAACTTTGCCGGGATTCGAACCTAAGTCCAATAATCCATTAGATTTGTAAACGACGTTCTTGCCGATTGGGCCACAGGCACTTTTCAAAATTAACGATTTTTAAAAATATATTATAGATCGAAAGTGTGACATTGCCAGCGTAACGGTATTTTTGTGACAAGGCTTTTATATATATTATAGATACTAACCTGAAAAAACAGTTCGCATCGCCTACAATATGATCGGTTATAAAAATCTCTTTTAATATACCAATTTTTATTTTGGGATAACGGCCAATTACTTTGAAATTGAACCGTTTAGAGTGGTATACCTTCCAGTTCCTAGTTGTGCGCAGGAAAAGATTATCAATTTTCTTTGGTATTATTGCATCCACAATAATTTTGTCATCTAAATTTGATAATTGAATAATAACATATTTTTAAGATAACCTTTACCCTGATCTTGTACGCCTACATATCCTTCCTCTTTCACTATACATTTAATAGCTTTTGTTTGATCTATACCAAATGTATCTGTATATAAAAAAAATATATTTAATTATTTTATATATTATCTTTCTCCTGACACGGTTTATTTTAGTGTCCTCCTTTCTAATTTCCAACCCTAGGATTTTAGCTTTATCAAAAATAAAACTTTCTCCTGCAACTTTTATTCCACAGGACATTTCCCCAAAGTGTGCTTCTTTTATGGAAATAATAAATAAAAATATTTTTCCTTTTTTACCTTCTCCAATTGTAGTTTTAAGAAGCCTGCAATGGTAAATATATCAGATTCGAGATGATCTTTCTGATCTGATAATGCCTCAGTGTATTTGGTAAAAGCAGAGTGTATTTACAGAAGTGAGTCAGCACAATGTTGGTTGCGATATGTTCTTAATACCCGCCATCGATAGAATTTTAAAATTTTATAAACCTTTAAAAAATTCCTAAATAGTCCTAACATTTTGAAAATTTTTTTCAATAATGAATGGCAGAGGTATATTTAGGAATGATTTCAAATGTAGAATGTGCAGTTGCAATCAGAAGAATCTTAACAAAGATCACAAAATTATGCTGCAGATGTGTCCATCTTTACAGTTAAAACAATAAATTTTATATCGCCATTGCTAAAACTTAATTATATTTTATATGAGATTTAAATAATAGAACTAAATGTTTACCGTCGTTATTGAGATTATAAAATTCTTGCCATGACATATTATACATTATTTAACCATTAGCTCGTTCTCTAATGTTGTTAAATCCGATTTCTCTCCTTTAGGCAGTCCTCTTTAGGCTAAAAATGCGCTCGGATGAGGCATTAGAATGAGATAAGAAGAAGTTTTGGCGAATCATAAAAAATAGAGAGTATTACAATCTCTTCAAACAAGACATCAATGTCTTTCGGTATTTTTAACCAGGTCATAATATTTATACTATTGTAAATAAAGTTATTAAAATAAAATTTTGATTGTAAATATTCTAAAATTGTCAATAAAAATATCTGTTTCATTTAAAAATGTAATAATTAGAGTATTATTTGAACATTTTAATATAATATTTTTAGAAATAGCGCCATAAAATTTATTAACAATTTTTAACTATAGAGATGAACAGAGCTGTAGCATGATTTTGTGAATCATTTTTAAGAAAAATTTTCAAAATTTTAGGACAGCCTTTAAAATCTTTATTTAAGAAGTATTTTTTTAAGGGTTTGTAAAATTTAAAAATTCTATCGATGGCAGGTATTAATGACAACCACCTGATAGGTATATATCGCAACAACTTACACCATTCCAAGTCAGACAACTTCACCAACTCTTTTAATTCATTAACTTTTTTAGTTGAACTAAATTTGTTAAAACATTTCATCACAATTATTTCGACATCCACAGATAGTGCATTGTCTTCTTGCAATTATTATGTAGTATATATGGCATATACAACCAATTGGTATTAATTCATTATTGTGCTGCCTCAATTCGGTAAATATACTTAGGTTTTTGCCAAAATTTACAAAGGCATTATCAGCGCAGAAAGCAGACATGCAATTCATTGATAACCCTGAATCAGCTATATTTACATTATCTGGTTAGCTACATCGTTGGATTTTTCACTATCCGAGGAAAAAAATTTAACAGTTTTATTGAAATGTTCTTATTCTTGTTAAAAGAGCGAAAGATCAAGGGAAATGTTTTAATATTTCCCTTATTAGATGCATCTGTCAGGATTGCATATGGATGCCCATCTTTCAAATCATCTAGAATTGACTTCTAGATTTAGGTACTAGAACACTTGTGATAGCCTTGCTCATTTTATATTCTACCACAAGTAAGGTTTGCACTTATATTGGAGTCGTTAAATATCATAGGAAAAAGATTCGACCGACATTGTGATAATATAGCTCTGTGAATGTTGAACTACGTGATAGGTGTATACGATTTCCGCAACTGTAGTTGCATCTGTATTATTTATTATTTTTGGAGAATATTTTTGTATTGCAATCGATGTTGATATACCCCACTGTACTGATGAATGAAATGATGTTGATTTATTATTGGATAAAAATAAAACAGGATAGAAATAAATTTACAAACTAGACATGTTTTTCGAATAAATATTTAAAATTTATTTTAAAAATATATAAATAATCAATTACTATCTCTCAAAATTATTATTTAAATATCAAAAACGTTAAAAACTTTTTTAAAAAATTGCGGTAGATTTTTGCGGGAGATTCCAATTGCGGTAATTTTGCGGGAGAGAGATGTCTACGTGTAAACTAAAAAATTGTGGGAGTCTCCCGCTGATGGGGGAAGACATGGCAACCCTGCTCATGATGGTTCAAGAGATAACGGATTGAGCAAGGACCGTTCAACGTTTAAAGCCTTGTGGACTATCCACATGTTACGAGGGATGACAAATGTGGGTGCTGAATTAATTACGATGACCGCGATGCCGTCCAAACGATAATGTGATCCTCGAGGACCTTTCAAAGTGTAACGCTACTAGGATCATCTAAGGTTTGCGACTGAACGAGAATGTTTTAAAATTGATATAGAAGGTGGGGAAGATTTGTAATGATTAGCTATCTAACACGAAGATATCTAAGAATCATCAATCCGGATCTTATGGTTTTTGGAGATGGAGTAAAATTCTAAAATGATTGCTGATCCTATACAGGCGATATAGTAATCATAAATCCATGAAAGAAGTTTCATGTATCCTTGATATACTTAAATCGTATGGAGAAATCGAGCTTATGATTAACTTCAAATAACAGTCATTATGCTTTTCCCATGGTACAGATAAACCCAAGCCATACTATTGAAAGGTTATTGGGGTAAATTTGGATAATAAAGGTCATATAAAGAACGAAGTAGAATTGAGATTAAAACATGCAAAATCAGTGTTTTACAAATATTTTAATTATGAATGACAAGGGAAATATCTGTTAAAAGTAGACTACAGTTGTTTACGATGATCATCCCCATTCTTTTATATGGAAGCAATACCTGGGATGTTTATAAAACTCAAAAAATCTTCAAGTTTTTGTTAATAGATGTTTAAGACCTATTAATGGATATATATATCCTAAAGTTATCTCAAATGTTAGTTTATGGAAATTATTCAAACACACTTCAGTCGTAGTACAACTGAAAAAAAGAAGAATTCAGCTATCGCATATTTTGAGAAACGAGGGGAATAATTTGGCTTATGAAGCCCTTAGCTGGCTTCCAATATATAAAAACAAAAGATATAATTATAAAACTTACTGGCTAAATAACTATATTCGACATTCTAAATTTGAATATAAGTCTAACTCAATTTACACATTTAAATAATAACAAAAGTTCCATTAACAAACTTCTTAAAATGAAAATCAACTATCTTATAGATCGATAGTTTCCTTATATAATCATTCCATCCTTTTGGAGGTTCAGTTATTTCTTTTTCTCCTCTGTAGTTCAATTTCAAAATTTACTACGTAATCTTTATATTCCTATACCTAATACTGTGCACAGCACACATTGGATGGTTATTCGATTTATTTTGCTCATCGTAAGTTTTTAAACTTTATTTATTCATTCATACTTATTTTAGGCTTCTCACAATACTAATTTAAATAAAATTAATATAGCCAATATTACCCTTCCATAATCAAATTTTATTTTAATCGGGTATGGGCTTTTTTTTTATCTCATTTTATTTTCCCATGGGCATTTAAGTAAAGGGCTTTGCCTCTTGCACGCAGGTAACTGTGGCCTGCCCAAAAACGTAGATGGTCATCTTAATTATTTAATTATTTCCCATCTTTCATCCCAGTTAGTTGTTTTTCATAAAAGAACCAAGCGTTACTCTGTTGTATATATATCTCTGATATATATGTGACATTTGAGGGCTAGTGCGCTTAACACGTATTACGTAATTCCTTAGTATTTTTCTTTCACCCCTTTAATTGTTCGCTTTTCAACTGCCCAAAATTCCTACAACAAACTTGTAAAGACAAATAACAAATTTCTAAAAAATTCGAGGACAACTATAATGATTTTATTTCGTTTTTTTCCTTATAATATTAATATTCATTAATTTATTAAATAAATCATTATTCTAAAAACAACAATTTTTTATATAAATCCGTTTTAAATAATAATATATTAAAAGAATGATTACGCAAAAAAAATATTCATCACCAAAAAAAATGACTTCATTTATCATAAAAAATGACTCCACACTTCAACATAAAAAACGACACTCATATCACGCCCCCACTAATTGAAAACCAAACTTTCACCTCGCACCCGGCATAATTATCGTCCCTTTATGGTGTTTTTACGTATTTAAATGGTAGTTAGCTTCTTGAGTCTCTCTCTTTGTGTGCTGCTATTGTCGATTCCTTGCTTAGAAATCGAACAACAGTATTTATTGATAATAGTGAAATAATAAGGAGTGATTTCGATGGATTTAAGTTACCTATTATAAAGGATAAACAAGAATTAGTTCTCGATAAACTTAGAAATCGAACACCAGAGTTTTTGATTAAATATAGAGTCAAAGAGAATAAGATGACAAAAGATATAAATTCTATTGAGGTAACACCAATCGAAATCAACAGACAGAGAAGTAAAGCAGCAGAACAGGAAGAGATGGTCGAAAATAAAAATAGTAATGAAATAAGTATCATTTTAGATCAACATTTTGAGGTTTTTAAAGAAGAGTTGGGTACATTAAAAAATGTGGAAATAGATATAAAATTATTAGAGAACTACCAGGCTAAATTTTGTGCAGTAAGAAGATTGCCATTTTCTTGGATAGAAGAGATTGATACAGAATTAAATAAATGGTTAAAAGAAGGTATAATAAAACCGATAGTACATAGCGAATGGGCAACACCGTTAGTGCCAGTAAGAAAACCTGATAATAGTCTAAGGCTATGCATAGATTATAGGATTTCACTAAATCCTTGGATTATAACGGTAAAGTATCTTTTACCGAGAATAGAACAACTGTTGCAAATTTGAAAGGAGCGATTTTTTTATCGAAGATAGATTTCTCTAATGCGTATTTACAGATTAAAGTTAATGAGAATACAAGTAAAATGTTAACGTTAACAACACATAGGGGTTTATTTGCGTTTTGTAGGCTACCTTTTGGTTTAAAAGTTTCGGCGCCAATTTTTCAAAGGACTATGACGGCGTTATTTCAGGGAATAAAAGGAGTAATGTATTATTTAGATGATGTTCTGATATCGGGTAAAACAGAAGAAGAGCACAATACTAGATTGGTTAAAGTGTTAGATATAATATTGGGAAATGGTTTAAGAGCCAATATGAATAAGAGTGTTTTTGGAGTTAAAGAAATTAAGTATTTAGGACATATTATTAAGGGTAATGAAATTACGCCAATTGCAAAGAATATTGATAAGATAATGAATATGAGAGCCCCGATTAATAAAACGGAAGTACAGGCGTTTTTAGGAGCAACAAATTATTATCATCGTTTGGTTCAAAAATTTACAGAAATTGCCACTCCGTTGTATGATTTATTAAAGAGAAATTGAATGGGGAGAAACACAGTAGAAAAGTTTCGAAAGATTGAAAATAAAGATGGTAGAGAAACCTATATTAAATTGTTTTAATGAGAATTTAGATATTATATTAGCAGTTGATGTGTCCAATGAAGGTATAGGAGGAGTATTGTTACAGATGATTGATAATATAGAGAAGCCTATTTTATTTTTGTCAAGACAGTTAAATAAGGCAGAAAAAAATTATTCAACTATAGAAAAGGAAGCATTATCAGTAAAGTTTGGTCTAACTTAATGTAGAGAGTATTTAATGGGTCTAAGGTTTTTGTTATATACTGATCACAAACCGTTGGTAGGACTATTTAGAAAAGATAATAAAGAGTTAATGATTTCGCCCAGGTTACAAAAATGGTTGTTATTGGTAGGTAATTTTGATTTTGAAATTAGATACAGAGAAGGTAAATTAAATTGTTTACCAGATATTTTATCAAGATTATTCATAAAAAAAACAGAAGAGGAAGAAAGAAAGTCCAAAACCAATAATGTAGAAATATGTTTAGCAGAATAGGAAGTTAATAATATTATAAGATCTTTGAAAGTAGATACTAGAGAGAAACCGATAACTTTGGAACTGGTAGATAATGTATCTAAACAAGATGAAGAATTAATGAGAATTAAAGCATGTTTGAAAGGATACATAGAATGGAAAAATGAGGACAAAGATTCAAAAGAGTTAAGAATGAATTAAATATTGAAGGCAATTGTCTGATGAGAGGATATCGTGTAGTAATTTCATGGAAGTTAAGAAAAGATATTTTAGCAACGATACATACAGGACATAAGGTATAGAAAGGATGAAAAATTAAGCACGGGAATATATTTGGTGGCCCCAAATGAATAGGGAAATAGAAAGTTTAGCTAGAAGTTGTGATACCTGTAACATGTGGGCAAATGTACCAGCAAAAAATAAAACAGATAAATGGCCAGAAACAGAGGTTCCAGGGAAAAGAATACATTTAGATTTTTTAGAATATGAAAAAAGAAAATATTTTATCATGGTAGATGCTGGATCGAAATAAATAGATTGTCAATAGGTGTCAGGTTTAACGACAAGAGTAGCCTTGACGAGAATAAAGGATTTTGTAGGTAAGTTTGGATTAATATAAACTTTAGTTTCGGATGGAGGACCAGCGTTTAAAGGTAAAGTGTTTGACCAATTTTGTGAAAGGTGGAATATTAAGCATTTATTATCGCCACCACATTACCCGAGAAGTAATGGATAGGCCGAGAGAATGGTTTCCATTGTAAAAAGCTGGCTTAAGAAAGAAAAATATGGAGAAGGAAAATGGTGGTTATTGTTATTAGCTTACAATAACACTAAGACAGCCAAAGGGAAGTCACCCGCGGAGATATTTTTAGGTAGAAAAACAAGAACGGAATTAGATTTTTTGAAAGAAAAAATAAAACAAAAGGATAATACATATGAGGAGAAATTTAAGGAAAAGGGAACTTGGTCTAGACATATCAAACAAGTAAGACCTAGATACTTAGAGCAATAATATTGGAGATAATAATAGATAGAATGTTTTAGGAAAATATATATATATATAATGAGATGGAAATTGATGATAGACATAATTATGAGAATCATAATTTCAGAGAATATATAATTGATGATAAACATAGTTATGAGAATCATAATTTCTGACGATATGGAATTGATGATAGACATAATAATGAGAATCATAATTCTAAGGATGATAAATTGATGAAGGACATAATTATGAGAATCATAATTTCTGACGATATGGAATTGATTATAGACATAGTTATGAGAATCATAATTTATAGAGGAATAAAATAATTACGAGAATATGAGAGATTATAGGAGATCATTAGATTTTTTTTTAAAATTAAATTATATAGTAATTGGTTTTAGATAGCTTCCTTCGTCAGAGTAGGAAATAAAATTGTTAAAATCGAAATAAGAGAGATTGACGGATCCGTAGAGTCGAAGAAATGGATAGAAGCTGCCCGGTTGGAGGCACAACAAAGATATGGAGAGTTATTGCAAGAAGTAACGAAAAGACCAAGATATGAGACCAGAACAGATCAAGATTGGGTCAGGAGAAGTCGAATGGAGTGTTGGTCTTGCGGAGGCACCCACAAGTTACGTTACTGTCCAACTGCGGCGTTAACCTCCTACAACAATGCCCTGCTATTGGTAAGAGAGGATGTTGACCAGCCTAAATCTTCCACACAAGGGGGTTTTTAAGGGGGATGGTGTTGTATATTCATTTTTTTAAATAATTAATTCCTTTTTTTTATTAATTTTTTTATATTGTTATGTAATTACTTTTTTGAATATTATAATTAGTTATTATTGTGGTGTTTATTCATTTTTTTAAATAATGAATTCCTTTTTTTTTATAATTTGAATATTATAATTAGTTATTATTATTATTATATAATAATTTTAGTTGGGCATTGTTAGTATCTGTTAAAATTATTAATTTTTTTCGTTATTCAAATTTTTTTCTGGTTAAAAAAATGTTATTTGAATATTAAAAGAAAAAAGATATATATACGAAACAAAATCATTTTCAAATAATTTCACCAATTATTATTCAATTAATTCTATTTCAAAATAAAGTTACCCGTACTTCTAAATACAAAAAAAAGTTTGATGTTATATATATTTTAATATTTAATCTTCCTTTTTTTTATAATAATCAACTTCAAAACCTAACAATTATATATTTTATTTGATCAGTTAATCTCATCCTCATCGCCAATATGTAGCATATTAATATATATGACTAGGATTAATATAATTCTTTATTGCAATCGAATAAACCATTTATACAAATAATATTAAGCATATATGTTCCGGTAACAACATCAAAATAATGAATATACAAAATCCATAACACAAGCAATCATTCTAGGATCTTACTTTATCTCCAAAAACCACATAGAATTGATTATTCTTAGACATTCCCGTGTTAGGTAGCTAATTGTTGCAGTATATTATATTAACTCATTAAAGAATTTTTATCTCTAGATTGTAATTTATTAATTAAGTTAAAAAATAACATGTATATCTTTCACATCATTCATTAGATTTTTAATTTTATATTTTATGAAAGCATATTTAGATAATTTTTATTTATTATATAGTAATTTTATTGAATTTTCAATTTCTTATAATATTAACATAATAATGAAGAAAATAACAAGGTTAGAAATATCTTCTCCATTTAATAACTTTTTTTTATTAGTTCTAGATATGATAAAATAAGACAGGTCCATGCGCGTAACCAATGGAGGAGGGGAAGGGGGGAAATCCCCCCCCTATCGCATATTTGTTTGTTTTCATAAATATAATTTTAAGCTAATAAAAATTTTAACTCCCCCCCCCCCCCCACAATCAAAATTTTACTAATATTTGAATATCAATTTCCCAACATAAAACTTATTTTTTATAAATAAATTTTATTAAAATTTCTTTTCCTTGTGAGTACATTAACATTATTCAAAAATATTAATAAAAAAATTTTTAGTCAAAGAGATTGAAATCAAATGGTAATTTATTTTATTATTATATATAAAATTATTTTATTAAATTCAAAATTATTAGTGTGTTAGAATTAATAAGTATTTTTAATAACATTTTGATTATTAATAAATGTCTATAATTTTTTTAATATTCTTCATTTTTACTTCCATTTTGTAGAACAGAAGAAATAGTAATACAAAAGTTTAATAAGGCTGAGCATGAAAAAAAGTAATGTGTCGTCAGAAGCGATATCATTATTGAATTCAATTGATCAATCAGAGTTTATCATTGCTGCTAGTTGCATCAATAAATTATTTTCTTATAGCTCACTACTTTGTAGAAATTTACAAAAAGCAAATTTAGATTTGGTTCAGGTTATTGATTTGGCGAAAAATATATATGAACAGGTAGATACAATAAGAAGATGAATATTTTCATAATATTTATCTAGACGTTGAATCGAAGGCTAAATTTTATGATATAACACTAATTAAACCTCGTCTAGCACCTAGATAAAATATCGATTTTCATCACATTCTAGGATACTTTTTTATCGCAAATAAAAGTACGGTTTTTAGACAAAAAACAAGTCTTTAGCAATCTTCAAGTTTTACTACCCAAAGATCCTTCTTCGTTTTCTAATGCCACTATTGGTAACATTAAATATTTAGAAAAATTTTATTCCTATGATATTGATACTAAAATAAATTTAAAGTGAATTCGAATTGTGGTAAAAATATTTACTACGTTTAGCTATTTTATCTGAGCATGCTATTGATGTGCTCAATCGGTGTAAATAAATCTTGGCTCAATTTCCTAATATTTTGAAGTTGTTTTATATTCTTGCAAGTTTGCCTATTACAATTTGTACTAATGAAAGGACTTCTTCCAACTTGAGAAGGTTGAAAACATATTTACGAAGTACTACTTCCGAATCTCGGCGAAATGAGTTAGCTTAGAGATTTGGTTCGAACGACAAACGAAATTTTTGATGAACCACGAAAGTTATAAATCACATTATAATTATAGTATTTACTAAAAAAATTTGTATAATATTGTATTTGATATGAAGTTAAAAAAAACTTGTTTTTGAAATTATTTTCTAGTCAATTATTCTACTTATATTGTATGAGAATTCAAGCTGAGACTAGTTTTTAAAGCAAATTTTATAAAAAAAATGACATTAAACTTTATTCCAACTTTACAAAAAACTTTATTAAATATAATATACCTAACTTAAAATAATAAAAAATAGGCTTGTAATTTCCATAAGCACGAATTAGTAAATAATAGTTAAAAATAGAAATATAATTATTATAAAATTATGAATAATTTAATAGAATAGCTAAAAAAAAAAGACCGGCCAGATGAGAAGGGGTTGGGGGCGAAGCCCCAAAAAAATAAAAAATCCCCCCCCCCCCCTCATAAGAAAATCCTGGATACGCCACTGGACAGGTCGATACAAAATATAATT